AACAAACATTGAACATTTCTCCATATCTTTATTCTTCCAAAATTTGACTTTTGATGTTTATATTATATTCTGTCCTATGGACCACGAATGTTTTCATTTTTCTCATTGCCATAAACCATGATATGATTAAAAAAAAATCTTTGTTACATACATCTCTTTATCCTGTTTCTTTAGGATAAATTCCAAGAAGTTAAACTGATCAAAAACTATGCACATTGATATATATTACCAAATTGTCCTCCTTAAAGATTTATCAGTTCACATTTAACTAGAGAGGATCCATTATCCCAAACCATAGACAACATTATTCTTATTCTGTTTCAACTTTGTCAACTGATGGGCTCTTCACCTTATTCTACCTTTCTTTAATGGTGGCAGGTCCCATTTAGGAAGTGACTATGACGTGCCAAGTGGCTTACATGAATTATTTCATTTAAACCTCATAGTAACCTTATGAAGTACTTTTCTGTTCCCCTTTAACAAAGGAGAACACTAGGCTTAAAGAGCTATGAAACCAATATCCAACTCAGGCAGGGTAATTCTAGAACTGCACCTCCAGCCACTTCACACTTATTACAAGTGTTATACCCAAGACACACTGGTATAAGCTTAATGACCATCTGTTCCTATTCTTCATTTTTGGAAATGGGAGTTTCACAAAAATAGCCCTTTGTCCATTTTTCCATAGGGGTTTTGCTTTCTTCCTTTCTTTTTTTTTAGTAATTTTTAAGGTCTTTTAACATAGCAGATACATTAACCTTTTGTCATATAAGTAATATTTGTCACATTTGTATATCCTGACTTTTAATGTGGAAGGGTTTTGGCATACCAAAGTTTGCAATTTTTACATGATTAAATCAATCAATCTTTGTGGTACGATTTTGGTCTCACACCAAGAAAGACCTCCCACATCCAAGATTATCGATATTTCTATGATTTCTTTAAAAAAGAAATATTTTAAATACTTAATCAACCTTTTTTTTTCAAAAATGGTTCTCCAAAGAAATGATTTCTCAAGGATAACAGAAAATATATTATCCACCATGCATTTTTTTTTTTACCTGTATATGGTATATTTTAAGCTTTTACCTTTGTATTTCTGAAGAATAAAAGATTGGTTCAAGATAAAGCCAATTTCTTTGAC